TCCCCGGGCCGGGAGGGACCGAGCCGCGTCACGCCCCTCAGCCGTAACTATTCCTTTCTGTCGCTGCGTCCGCATCGTGTCTCCGGAATCAGACTGTACTCCATAGATGGCCAGCTTTCCCCCGAGGGTCAACGAGAAAGAGATCGGTGAGGCACGGGACGGTGGGTGAGCGCGCGGGGGCTGAGGAGAGCCGGGGACTCCCGGGAGGAAGGAGCGGAGGGAAGAGCTCGCGAGCGCGAAGGAGGAAGCGGCCCCGCGGCTCGGGGGGAGCCGAAGGGGCGCGGGGCGGGCGCGGAGGAGGCGTCGGAGGGGCCTGGGCGCGTGGGGGCGAGGCCGGGGTACGCTCGGACCCGCGCCCGGCGCGGGGTGTGGCCGCCGCGCGCACTAGCTCAGCCGGGCTCCGGGTTTCTCCCCCGGCGGTCGGCGCAGGCTCCTTCTCCAGTCTCTAGGCTTGGGCGTCGAATGGACGGGGAAGCTTATTTCTCAAGGGTTATTATTGCCTTGTCTCTCTGTGTGGATGTGGAGGGGGGGATACATTTATGTGTTCTCAGCTGCGATGAATTGGGGGGCTCTTGTACGCTAACTATTTCAAACGTGCTCGAAGATGTGCCATTGGTCGGGGAAACGCAGTTTTTTGAAAAAAAAAAAATGATAAGGTCTTAGGAAAAGTCTGCGGTTCGGGGGAGGAGACTCGGAATTATCTTTCAAATGAATGTGGGAGGAGCAGAGTGGTTGGGTGGAGGGACCCTAGGAAGGCTGTGGTGGGGAAGAGCTAAGTCTGGGGAGGCTTTCTAGTAGCTGGCCTGGAGCTGCCCTGCGGCACTGGAGACGGGGCCGTCCCGTGTTGAACACTGGGCTCCAGACCGGTGGCTCTGAGGCACTTCACGTTACTTAAATTCTCTCACAGCAAAATAATGGGAGCAGCCCTTGCTGGTCTTGGGGTGCTGTGCAATGGACTGTTACATATACACTGGCTTTTTTGTGCGCCTTTAAATAAAAGTTAGCAGTAGCAATTGAGCATGGAGCCTTTGCGTTTCTCTGCTCTGAAGTAGGTCTACACCTTTATTAAAGAATTGGAGAAGGTATTCAAGAGGAGTGAAACGAAGTTCCCAAAATGCCCCCCATCTAGTAGGTGGGCGAATTTCTATACTGAGAAACAGCTGTTGTAGAAATTTGGACTTTTGCTCTCTTAAGGATAAGGTTGAATGGCTGATTAGGTGACTAACTCTTGTCTTAATAACCTTTAAAGGTACAATGAACACGGAATTCTTGTCTAGTTTATCAGTCCAGGGTTTTTTACCCTCCTCCACCACATGCACACCGAGGTGTTACAGATAAGTTATCTGAGTGCCCACCTTTCATTTATCCTTTAGTCTGCGTAACTCATTTTCCAGTCCCCTTTCTTAAGGGATGGATAGAGCATCTTAGCATACCTGCAAGAGGTACCCTTTCTTAATTAAAAAGAAAAACATTTGGTTTATTATTTCCTGGCTAGGGCTTAATTTTTTTTTTTAAGCTACTTGCCACTGTTTAGAAATTTGGCCTTTTAAATCATTTGTTTATTTTTGAGGCGGGGTCTTTGCTGTAACCCAGGTTTGCCTCAGACTCTTTGTGTTTTTACTGCCTCAGCCTCTAACCCAGGTAACAGGCCTGTGCCCATACCCAGGATTTAAAACCTTTTTTTAAACCTCAGTTTTTGTTATTTTTTTTTGAAGTATGATTTGGACACAGTGTTAAACATTTGTTTTTCTGTGTAGCTTTGTATCTATGGATAAGTAGTGCTCCTTGCAGGGGTTTTAGTTGTAGTTAGGCCAAGTTTGGCTTCTGAAGTACAGGCTACAAGTAGAGTTGAGAGCGTGAATGAGTAAAGAATTCTGTATGACGGGAATTCAAGAGCCATGGGCTACTGCTGTGTTTTACAAGGCACTGCTACAAACTGCCTTTCTGGCTGTAAAATTGTGGGAAGGAATGTGAAGAAGTAGCTAAATCTGGTTTGCTGAGTTCAGTGGTGACTCATGGTGTGACATTCCTGTAGAGATGTTAATAATGCAGTGTTGTGTCCTGTGGGCCATTTCCCAGGCAGGCAGCCTTTCCCTTGTACTACAGGGTCATTGAAGCCCCCCCCCCCCCTTCTTCCTTCTCCTCTTATGATGTGTTTGGTACATGGTATAGGGTCTGGCTATGCAGCTCAGACTTGTAGTGATCCTTCTGTCTCATCCTCCCCAGTTCTGGGATTACAGGCATATCCTGTTGTGCCCTATCTCTATGATCAGCTTAGTGTGCCCGGGGGCAGGGGCAGGGGCAGGGGACGTGGTGCCTGGGTTTTTTTGGTCTTTTTGAGACAGTGTTTCACTATATGCAGTTCAGGGCCAGCCTACCCAGTGGTCCTACCTACCCTGGCCTCCTGTTTTGGGATTACAGGTGTGTGGTATCATGCTCAGCTTTGTTTTTCAGTTTTTGAGACAGGGTTCTCTGTGCTGGCTTTGAGCTCACTTTTTGTAGCCCAGGTTGGCCTGGAACTCACAGTGATCCTCCAGCCTCAGCCTCCAGGAGTGTTGGGATTGTAGGTGTGTGAACCTTGCCTGGTTCATATGCGGCTTTGAATCATACATTTCTTAAGATGCTGATTAGTAGGTAATAGCAGTAAAGGTTAAACTAGTTTTTCAAAACATTTTACTGTGTACCTTGGTTTTTCTTTTTTTTTGTATTTTTTTAGGGAAGGATCTACAGGGTGTTTAGGGTCTCACTACTAGATTGGACTCAATAGTGATCCGCCTGTTTACAGCCTTCCAAGAGCTGGGATTACAGGCAAGTGCCACCATGCCCAGTCTCAGTCGCCATCTCAGTGCGCCCAGGGTTGGGGCTGGCATGGAAGGCCTGGGGATCGAACCCCTGGCTCCTGCGCCTGCTTGTAGGTGCTTTAATCTGCTGAGCTATTTGGCCGGCCCTAGTGTGTACCTTGTGCTAAGTTTATAATTTATTGAAATTCAAAAATCATGTTGGTTAACCATTAGAAGAAACACAGTGAGGGCACTTATTACTTATATTTATAATAGTATAATGTGTTTATTTGGCAGTTTTTATAATGTGGCATTTGTTAATGTGTTAGCTTAGTATTTCTTGAATTTGCTGTTTAAACCACTTTTGGTTAATAACTTATACCATTCCTTTTACACGAAGAGTTTCAGAATTGTGGCCAAGATAGAAAAAGAAAACCACAGTCTGGTGTCGTGGTGCATAACTAATCTGAGTCAAGGCCAATCTGGACAACCTAACGAGGCCATCTCTCAAAAAAAGGGATTGAGAGTTCAGTGGCAAGCCCTGGGATCAAGTCTTTAGTACTGTAATAAATACAAATAAAAAATACAGAGTAATCTTAAAATGAGTATTGGGTGAGAAGTTCAGTAGTGGTATTTTTTTGGTAGTGTATTCTTAGCTTAGCTGAGGGCTTTCTCTGCAGGTGGATTTTAAAACTTGCTTTCTTTATCTGTGAAGTTTGCTATGTTGCTCCCTACATTATGGATATAAAAAGATATGATTAGACAGAAACCCAAATTAAAAATAAATTTAGGCAGATGTTGCAAATATATGTTCAGACATACAAGAACACTAATAAAAAGAATATATAAGAGTGAGTTTGGAGATGGATGTGAAAGCATACACTGGGTACTCTCAGCCCTTAGGAAACTGAGGCAAGAGGCTCACCATGAGATCAAGGCCTTCCTGGACTCTGTAGTGGGTTTAAGGCCAGTCTGAACTGAGTTTGGAAAAACATAAGGAAACCTGGATTACTATACCCTCTCTATCTGAAGTGATCTGTGTATTTTAAAACATCATGCCAGCTGGCCATGGTGGCATGTGCCTGTAATCGTAATCACTTATGAGGCTGGGGCAGGAAAATCACAGCTTTGAGCCCACCCTGGGCACCTTAGTGAAACCCTTTTAAATTTTCAAAAAATTTTAAAGTATGGTGGGATAAATGGTACAGGGACATAAGCTCAGGCGTGGAAAGCAGGCCTGCCATTTTTTGAGGTCCTGGCTCCAATCCCTAGTTCCATACACAGGCACAAAATCACTGTGTGGATCTGAGGGTTGCCCATTTGTGAATATTGGCTTAAGGAAGTCATATGATTGTTAGTGAAATTACTATCGTGATATGAGGGTCATTACTAACTGTAGTTGATCTAGAAAGGTATGAAGTTAAATTGGAAGATGGACTAGATAGAAACTTGGTAATCTGAGGATTGATAGAGTTAGAAATGCTTTAGACTGGCAAAAAGACTCAGCTGATGATGTTGTCTTGGTTGTGTGTTAGATTCCCAGGTTTGCTAAGGTTTATTTTCTTAGGTCTGAATCAGGACTGAGTAGATGGAAGATTTTTATATCATTAAAAGGAAAAATTTTGATAATCTCAACTGTACTTAATGTAGAATAAGCCTCATTCTTATTTATGAATGTCATAGAAAAATATGCATCTTTTGTTTTTGTGTTTTAAGCCATACTTATTGTATCTAAGGATTGAACAAGGAACATTTAAATCACTTAGGAATGGGAATTAAAAAAAAAAAAGAATGGGAATTTATGTGTGCTTTCATATTTGCTCAGTAAAAATTTATTGGGCCCCTGTCATGTAGGTGCTGTACTAGCTTTTGACAGAGCACACATTCAGATTAAATGTCCCTGAGTAAGGTTTGTGTGTAGGTCTGTTCTAGGTATGGTGGGATAAGTGGTTCTTACCCAGACTTCAGTACATAGCCTGTAGAAGTTTAGTTGTTAAAGTTAAACTCAAAATGTAAAAAAAAAAATACATTATCATACACTGTAGAGTTGATCAGTAAGCATACAACAGAAAGGCAAAGTGACACAATTGAACTCAAGACCAGTCCAACAAAGGAGGGATGATATTCTGATAAAGAAGGCCATTTTTTAAAATTAAGAAAATTTCATTTGGGGTTGGGGAGATAGCTCAACAGAATAAGTGCCTGCCTGGCATGTGCAAGGTCCTGAGTTTGATCCCCAGTACCACCAAAAAAAAAAAAAAAAAGGAAAAAAAATTCACTTGAGTTTGCATGTGTATATTGTGATAGGATGTTGTTGATTATGCTTTTTGTTAGATATGGAATTAATATTCTCCTTGGAAATATGC